TTACCCCCCCCACCCCCCCCCCCCCCTCAATACTTGCTCAATTTCTGCAAAGTGAAACACGCAACTATATCCTTTATCGTCTTTTCTCTTTTTAAATTTTTTTTCTTGTTTGCTAGGAATTAACAAAGCGAGAAGTGGAATATGTTGCCCTGTCCAGAGATACTACTGAGACTGATCTCAAACAGCGCAGAGAGATCCGGTCTGGAACTGCCTTTTACATCGACCAGGCAAGTAGAGCTCTTTCACCTTTCACTCTTCTACAAAAAAAAAAAATCCATGTATCATTCGTTTTTTGATTTAACATTAAAAGTAGAAAAAGGAGAATTCAGCTTAAATTTCCGTTTTTCGTTCAGGGATAGAAAAATTAATAAGCAGCTTGAATATTAGATTTCTACAGGTGGGCGGGAATTAAACGCCCCTTTCTGCTGATTGGTCAGCCGAAGATCAAACTGTGCCGTCATCAGTTCTTCCACAGTATCATGCAGCAGAATAATAGTCCTCCACTGCTGCAGTTTCGGATTCTTAACGCGTTAATTGCAGCTACATTTAATCTTTTTTCATCAAACAAACAGGTGCATTGCCTAGACAGGGCTTTCTTCTGTGTAGACCAGCGGTTCTTAAAGTGATAGGGGGTCCGAGAAATAATTTGCTAGAGCCTACCGTATTTTACAGACTGTAAAGTGGCTTTTTTATCATGATGCATAGGCCTACTGTGATTTATTCCAAAGTGACTTATTTCTCAAGGCATGACATTGAGAATAAAAATATACATTTTACCATACGACTATTTAATGACAGAGCATTAAGTTATTTCCCCTCGATGGGAAAAAAAATCTAAGTGAACATCAATCAGTACTCAATATTAATTGAAACTGCTTTGAATATGACTGCTGCTTATTTCCTGTGCACTTCAATACTGGTCTGCGCTAGACTGTAGTCGCATCTGTCTGCTTATTGAGTTTATATGCATCTCGTGGCAAATATTCCAAGCATTCTGAAGGTATAGTCTGGTGAGAAACAAACCGAAATGGCATTGCATTGCAGTCCTGTGTGCGAGGCGAGCGCATATCATTTTGAGATATCAATTATAATACATTTTAATAAAACACAAGACTACATTATATAACTCTAACAGTAGGCTATTTAATATTGGTTGTTCTCCGGTTGTCGGTCAAAATGACAGTTCTTGCGTGAACGTTATAGGCCTATATATACCCAAGCCAATTTATTATTCCTTCCTTTTTGTCTTAGTGTTTAAAATATTTATTTTGAAACAAATTAATTAATTAAACAAACAGACTTGACGGCTAAGACATCTGTCATATCATACCCTGCCATGCCCAGCTGATGCAAAGAATAGAATTTATATCTACACAGAAGAAAGCCCTGTCTAGACTCTGCCCCTGTATGAGTTGTGTCGAGCTATTCATTAGCCTATTTGTTTGATGAAAAAAGATGACATGTAGTTGCAATAAATGTGTTAAGAATCAATACAACTGCAGCAGTGGAGGACTATTATTCTGCTGCGTGATACTGCGGAAGAACTGATGATGGCACGGTTTGATCTTCGGCTGACCAATCAGCAGAAAGGGGCGTTTAATTCCCGCCCACATGTAGAAATCAAATATTCAAGCTGTTTATTAAAGCAATAAGCTCCAAGAAGCTGTGGTTTACAGTGAATTTATAACAGCTAAGGGGCGTTGTAGGCACGAAGCGGAGTTATAAATTCACTGTAAACCTCGGCTTCACGGGGTTTATTGCTTTTATAAAACGGTTATTCCATATACTTAGTAAGGTTTCACAAAATAAAACGGAGCAAATAAAGTGTAATGATATTAATAAAAACAGTATTCTTCAGCCAAACAATGTAGTTTCTCAGAAAGAGTTGGTTGCAATAAAGTGGTTGCCGAGCAACAGACAAACGTAAACAAAGGTGTATGTTTGTAGAGTAATTTACAACAGCTTCGAACGTGGCTCAGCCAATCAGAATCAAGGACCGGAACTGTCCGTTTTATAATAATTTTTCTATCTCTGAATGAAAAACGAAAATTTAAGCTGAATTCTCATTTTTAATTTTTTTTATTACTTTTTAATTTATGTATTATGTATCTTATTTTTTGATTTAGTTTTTTTATTATTTATAAAAAAAAAATTAAATTATTATTTATTTATTTCTCAATAATTTGGAATGCTTGATTCTAATGAGTCTTTTTTTTAAATAGTGACTACTGAACTATTATTTGACTGTTTCCCCATATATTATGTTATATTATATTGCATTTACTGGGAACAAAACTGTCTCCCGGGTCTACTTCAGCCATGGGGTGTCATTCCATTCACCAAGGAGTCCATCCTTTACTCAGTCTCATGCTAAATGGAGATGAATTCCCACAGGATCTGGCAAATCCTTCTCTTTTCATCCGAAGCCCAGATGATAAATTATATCCACTTATTCAGCTTTGTCTTCCCAGGTATTCAATTATTAGTCACAGCTCCTCTGTTCTGCTCGTATATCTAATGAAAGAGCCTGTTTAAGTGGTATATGGGGTCATAACCTTTGTGATCAGAGTCTGTAGGTACAGTGCTCCTGATTCTAAAGCATTTTGATAATGAATTGTGTATTAAATAGCTTTTGGCTTAGATTTAATGCACAGAGTCCAAGCTTACAGTGTTGCATCAGATTCCATCACTTGTGCTTGTTTTAGCTGTGTGGAGTGATGGATAGGCAGCAGACGTGGACGTCTTGTTTAAAGGTGGGCTGCATGTGGGGGCTGGGTGTTAACTAGAGCAGCTCACGGCTCTCCTGGGCACTGCGCTCATTTTCAGACCTATATAACAAGCTTTGTGTGTCAGGCAAATGACTCCCAGTTGACTAGCCTTTATGTGTGAATGGGAAATGTTTTAGACTGAATGATCAACTATTCATAGAGGTTTTCTCTGTTCAAAAGTCGATACGATAGTGTCTAATTTAAGCAGTTAGCTACAAGAGGCCATGCTGTATTGAGAATGTATGGCTGAAGATTGCTGTCTGCTCATCATTTACATTACAGAACCACAAATGGATTATTGCATTAATGGTTACTACATATAATAAAATATTAAGGACAAACACTTTTATTAAGCACATTCCTTAGAGACTTAAGAATGGCTTGTGTCGATTAGGGCTGAACGATATGGGCAAAATTTATATCACAATATATTTCTTAATTTCGGTCGATACGATATAATTCCGATATCGATATGAACACTATTTAAAAAAAGCCTAATAAAAACTGCCAAGAACGGCCACAACAGATGTCTGTACCTACAAACTTATGAAAAATGAATTTGCCAAGTCTATCAAACCTCCTCCTATAAAACTATATAATATTTTAGAAAAAATAAAAAAACAGCACAAATAAATTAATGTTCATCTTTTATTTGTATTTAGCCTTCATACAAACAAGAAATGTGAAATCACTGTCAAACAAACATCTCAGACTCGCCTTATTAATATTAATATCTTTAACTTCCAATTATAGGCTAACATACATTACCAGTCAAAAGTTTTTGAACAATAAGATTATTCATGTTTTTTTTAAAGAATTCTCCTCTGCTCACCAAGCCTGCATTTATTTGATCGAAAATACAGCAAAAACAGTAACATTTTGAAATATTTTTACTATTTAAAGGGGTCATATGATGCGATTTAAATTTTTCCTTTCTCTTTGGAGTGTTACAAGCTCTTGGTGCATAAAGAAGATCTGTAAAGTTGCAAAGACTTAATATAATAATCCAAAGAGATATTCTTTATAAAAGTTAAGAGTCAGCCACACCTACCTAAAACGGCTCGTTCTAACACGTCTACGTCACGATGTGGGAAGATTTGCGTAATGCCGCCCAAATGTTCACGCTAAGAAAGAAGGCGTAACATTTATTCTCGCTGTAGTATTGTTGATGTCGCCGCCTCCATGTCGTGACGGCGCTGTGTGTTTCGTTGTGAAGCGTTTTCATGACATGGCGGTAAAAAACTTTGACTGATAGTGTAGGCTGCTTATTCTTATAGTTTGAAACAAATGTGCCAGGATAAAGAGTATGAAAAGTGCTCCGAGTTGCTGCAGAAAACAAAAAAATTGAGCAACAACAAACATGTTGCTGGAGACGGGCTTATTATTGGAAATGCTAACTGAATCTCTGCCAGCAGGAGGCACTGTGAGAGCGGCAGAAACAGCGGTTCCCCGGTAACGGCTGTAATCAAAGCAGCTCCGCTCATGAACGCTACTTTATCAGATGAAATTAAAATGCCATCAAAACTTAATTAATGAATTCTGAAGACAGTCGGTTCCCTTCAGAGATACATTAATGTAAAACACCCGCGCCACGTTTTGATCTTAAACGTACGTGCTCATGTTTATTCAACGAAGTCAAACGCCACAAATAAACCAATGTATGGGAATAATGTATATCGAAATATCAGAAATGCGTTTAAAAATCATATCACCATTATTTAAAAAAAAATATATCGCGATACATATTGATATTGAATTATT